ACGCAATGGGGCAAGCTCTTTCCTGTCATTCATTTGGCAGTGTCCTCGAAAGATTTTGACATCACTCTTTTGATGGTTCTGCTGCGAAATTTGTGCGGTTTGCCATCTCCAATAACCGGATGGGACACACTTCCCGCTGCAACGGACATGACTCGTGAGGCGGATATTGCTCGTATTAAGTACTTTAGAAACACCGTGTACGCGCATGCCGAACAAGCTTCGGTTGATGACACAACGTTTAACGCGTACTGGCAAGACATCCGGGACACTCTGGTGAGACTGGGAGGTGATAGGTACAGGGCACCTATTGACAATCTGGAAACTGAGTGCATGGACCCTGAAATTGAAGATCACTACAAACAACTTCTCAGTGAATGGAAAAAGGACGAGGACAGCATTAAAGATGAGCTAAAAGAGATCGGAACCGAGATCAGAGATGTCAAGAAAATACTTCATGATTTAACAGCAGCAACTGTGACTAACAGAGAGGAATCAAATGATGGAGGTGAGTTGAGTGGGGCCCCCCATTAATGTAAGCTATGTATGTAGTTATACCATGCCAAAGAAAATACAGCTAATCAGAATACAAGAAAGCCGTTGTATATTCGACGATATAACACTTGACCTTCCCATCGTGCGCCGCGCGTATTTCCCATTGATTTTGCTGGCCACTGAATTTTCTATGGCGTGGTATAAAATAGTTATGCAACACTCTCTCATGATATACCATAGAATGTCCAACTTGTCAATTGTTTTTCTTGGTATACACACTAATTTTCAAGGAGTTAAAGCAGTTAAAATAACTCCTAAAGTAGAGTTTAATTAACTTTCCCTAGTGGAGTTAATTAGGGGGAAATCACATAGTTCCAAAAGAAAGTTATTTTAACTCAAAATTTGACTTATTTAGTAGTCGTAGAGTTAATTTAACTCTGCTTAATGGAGTTATTTTTTGGAGTCATTTTAACTCTAATTGAGAGCTAAATATAACTCCTGCTAGGAGTAAATTTCAAGAAGGAGTAATTTCAACTCTCTGTAGTGACTTAATATAACTCGCTTTTGGAGATATCTGATAGGGAGTATTTTAACTCTCGCTGGACACGAATGAGAGGAATTCATAAAAAGTAAAAAGGGTGCTTCGTTATTCAAGTAAATTGGGGCCGATTTCGTCTTGAAATTTATATTTCTATAACTGAGTGGTGCCACTCTTACAGGTTTTTATTTTGTGAGATCTTAAATTGGTACATCTTGCGGGTGGCGGAAATTTTCCCAGATCTTTAAGGATGTGTACCATGATGAGTGACTACAATCTCAAGGAACTTTAGATTACCAATGTAAAAAGTTACTTTTGCTTTGTGTCTTTATTGTCGTCCAAAAACATAGCGATATCTTTTTTATATATATCTCTTACTAACCGAGTTCGAGGTCCGTATACAAGAGCGAGTATTTGCCCCCTTCGATTTATTGCCCAACCGAGAAGGGTGCGGGCCATAAATCGAAGAGGAAAAAAACTAGGATCCGTAACTTACAGTACGGACACAGAAAACAAGGTTAATAAGATATTATTATATCTCTCAGCTTCTGACGGGTTCGGAAACGATTTCTATTCACGGGGAACGACTTCTAACGAACAAATAAATAAGCGCCTCGTCCCTAGTAAGCACTTTTTCTTCAATAAGCATCCTCCTGTAAGCTACCAAAAGTAAATTAATTCCTCGGATCCCAAATTGAATTATTATAGTATGTTTGTGTAATGTAAGCTAAGCTTAATCGAGCTAGAAAATAACTTGGGAACCAAAATACGATGATAGTGGTGGTAATCAGCAATAGACGAGGCATACAACTTTGGCCCAACAACGAGAAAAAGAAAAAACAAGCTTGTACAATATCTTGCATACTCTTATAAACTTATCCAGGGTCACGACTGGATTTTAGTTTGCCTGATTTATTCCTCCAATCAAATTCAACCCCGATCGGGCCTCTTGAATTTGTTTCTCTAAGTTTAAATTAATTTACAGAATAACAACAACACTTACCTTTGCAATTGGGACCCAGTGGAATTCATCGATGACGAAAAACCTACAGCTTTTGAAAAACCTAAACTGTTCACAGTCTCTCTAACATTCAACACACGCGAAAGAAAAACCGGACGAAGCACGAGGGAGTAGGGGCGGTGAGGCGAGTGAATATTTATCTCGATCCCCACCCCCTACCCTGTCAAGTCTCTTGTTTTGCGCTGGTGTCCCGTTCTCTCGAGATTCTATCCGTGCGTTCAACGATCTAATAATAATATGAGAACGACGAAGGGCTGTGAACAGTCTATCGAAATTCTTACTAATTATACCACAGGAAAAAGACACTAATGATATTTTTTGGTCTAGCACTTAGTGCAAGCGAACAAGGTACAAGTTCCAAACTGGAAGAATTGGTGGAGATCTCTATCACGTGTAGAGAGAAACATCACGAAAATAAGCCTCTCATTTACTATTGTCAGAACTGCAAAGTTTGCATTTGCGACAAGTGTGGACAAACACGTCATACAAATCACACCATGGTGGATATCAAGCAAGCCGCCGAAGAACAAAAACTAAAGATGACGGAGCTTGTGCAGAAAATGAAAGTAGAGATTACAGAGCACACGACCCAAATGGAGAAAACAACAGAAATGTTGAAGAAGAACGGAGAGAAAATTGCTGCCGCTCGAAACAAAGTGTTAACCACTGTTGAAGAACTCATTCGAGTGTTAAAGGAGCACGAGATCGCCATGGTGACCGAGTTAGATGTTATTGAAGACGAACAGCAAAGAGAGCACTCAGTACAGATGGAACACTTTCAGGTAACTGCCACGCAACTGAAAACGTCTGTGGAACATTGCCAAAGAATTTTACAACGAAACAACAGCGTTGAAATTCTTGAAGGGCAGCAGGGTGTCATGGAAAAGTGCAAGGGTCTCCTAAATGCGAGGAAAATGAACATTTATAAACCATCGCATGTTCAATACAAGACAATTGAAGAGAATATCCAAAGTGTTAGACACGCGTTTCTGGGTGAAGTTGTGGTCAGTACAACTGATCCTCGGCAATCAGTGGCGGAAGGGAAAGGCTTAAAACAAGCAGAAGCTGGAAGAGAAGCTGGCCTAACAATCACGACAAAGAA